CCTACGAGTGACTCGCCAAAGCTTATATATCCCAGGTTCGAAGGATTCCAAGAGCTCATCCCACCTTTCGTTTCGGTGGCCTGCTTGACTTGGTTGGCCATCCTACTTGCCGCAATTTCATCTCTTGGGAAGAGGGTCGCTGGTAGAGCCTTCTTAGGCTGTTTCTCTCTCGTATAATGGCTTTGATACGAGGAGGAAACTCATTGTAGCTCTTCAGCGGACACTCTTCCCTGGAGGTGGCCGCTCGAAACGCATCATTCACTGCCGCGTCGAATTCGTCGGAAGAACGAAGTGCCTCAGGAGGGGCGCGCATCTCTCCGAGCTGGGTTGTGAAGACATCCCAATTCGTCTTAGATCTCATCCGGTAATCAGGAGACAAAATGTGACGTTAACCATCTTGATTTTATTCAGGTTGAAGCCTGGCTCCCTTCCCCTTTTAGCTGAAGAGACAAAATGTGACGACGTAGTCCATCTTGAGTTCCTACAGGTTGAAGCCTGGCTCCCTTCCCCTTTCAACTGGTGTTTGTCAGAGAGACAAACGGGTTAGACAAAATGTGAATAATCAAGAGAAGTACTTAATAAAAATAACTGCGTGAAAGCAAGCGAGAAAAAAGTGGAACCACCTATTGGTGTGACACCCAAGTCAACTTGCCAAGTTTTTATGTCAGTGTTGGTGGTTTGACCAATCAGACGACAACTGCGGTTGCAGAAATTTGGGAAGCTAACCTGAAATGCCATCGGAAAACGAATCCGCATGTTTCTAGAAATTATATGAAATTGAGAAAGATTAATGCAGTCAATTTGCTGAAAAATAATTCCATGAAAATCAAAAGATCAATAGAAAAATACTATTTTGATCATTTTCATATTGATTTCAACTTAAGAGCCACCGGTAGACAGCTGTTTCAGCCTATCGGGCATCGTCAGTACCGGGCAGGCGGTCTTCGATTGAAGACAGGTGGAAGTCATCTTGAATTTAGACAGGTTGGAGCCTGGCTCCCTTACCTTTTGGACTGATGTTTGCCAAAAGGACAAACGGGTCATGACTGATGTGGGTGTTAATGGTATGGCGGCATGAGTGTCCTCAGACATCAGTACCGCACTTCACGGTGTACCCCTGCCTGGCTGGGATAAATTGGATGAAAACATTGTTTATCTTTCAACGGAAGATATAGGGGCCTCATTCGACAGTGTCGGGGCCTTCTATATCGGGAGGGGTCGTCTACAGTATAATCCATAGCTTCCCTGACTAATGGGTTTTCATGAGTTTCTGTACCATCGAATACTCTCTGATTTCTCGACTGAATGGACTGCCGAATGGAAGGCAGCTGAAAATCTCTGCGGATGGCTTCATTCCACACGAACCAAGGAGCATTCACAATCATCCTTATTAGCTTGTTTTGCAATACCTCCAGAATGGTGATATTAGATTTCGCCGCTTGTCCCCAGACGCCTGAAGCATATATGATGGCAGGCTTGAACATCGTATTATAGGTGGTATTTTGTTTTTGAAACTCATTTTAGATTTTCTGTTGATCAGAAAGTATAGACGTGCTATCCGACCCTCGATCTTTGATTTGACGCACGTTATGTGCGGGTTCCAAGTGAGCCTACGGTCTATTAGAAGGCCGAGGTACTTCACCCGCGCTTGCCAGTTAATCTCCCTTCCAGAGATTCTCACTTTTCTGGCCGGAGAAGATTTCAGTCTTCCCATGGTTATTGCCTGAGTCTTATCCGGGTTCACTCAGATCTTCCAATCAAGGTACCAGCGCTCGAGGTCGTCCAATGCACGTTGCATATAGACGACCCATGGAAGATGAGAGGAGAGCCGTGTCATCGGCGTACAGAGATATCTTCACACGGTCGGTCGATTGAAGACACTCAGTCAGAAGGTCATCCTCGTTTCGTTCAGGTTTGGAGTCCAGCTCCTCTACTCTTTCGGCTGATTATTGGCCTCAAGAAGGACCAATGGATTCATGACTGATGGTATTCGATTGAAGACAATAATCAAAAAAAGTACTTAATAAAAATAACTGCGTGAAAGCAAGCGAGACATAAGTGGAACCACCTATTGGTGTGATACCCAAGTAAACTTACCAAGTTTTTATGTCAGTGTTGGTGCTTTGACAACCGCGGTTGTCGGCTGTCTCTTGTTCTTTAAGGACAGTTGAGTCTAGCACTGCATTTTTTGTTCAGCCTAGGACCACTAATGAGTCCTATGGCGGGTCGAAACAGCGCTGTCTGGTGTTGGTTCATGAATGCATTGTGTTTGGGCTGTTTGGGCTTTCTCTTTGATCACATCTACAAAAATAACAAACTTTGACATTATTATTGCTTTTTGAATCGATACAGTATTGATCTTCCGGAGAATTGCATAAGTTTGACTATCACGTGGCTGACTAGGAATTTTTCAATTTATTAAAAAGTCAAATTGTACATCTGTTAGATCTCACAATGAACATGTTAAATTATGATATCAAAATTATATGCCTGGATTAGAAGATGTGGGTCATCAATAAATCAAGTTTAAGCAACTAGTTTAACATATTATATAAGCAAATTCGATTCCTTTTCAAGATCATTTAGAATTTCTATTGTACGAGGGGGTTGAATAGATTATAATCGGCTTCACCTTAATAGAAAAAATTACATTTTGAATAGGATTCTAGAAATGGCTTATTGAATATCAAAAACTACACCTCACGATTTGATCTTCACAAACTTTTTTTTTCATTTATTTTGGTATACTGTTGTACACGTAGTCAATTGTATGAGTAATGGTCCGTTTAAAGAATTCATTATGGTGAATTGGTCGAGTTGATATACCTTCAAATCGAATATTGATTGTATTAATTAACATCGGTTCAAAATAAAATTTCTTCATATAGGTATCGAAATCGAAATCTTCTTTATTCTGTGAAATAAGCAGGCTGCATGCAGCCGCCTACGCATCGCCATATTGGACCAACCCGTTACAACCAATTTCTTGTAAATACTTTTTCGCCTTCGAACTTCTTGAGTGAGACGTAAACATGAATTCTGAACCTTTTGGATTTTCTGCTCATATGTTTTCGTTAAGAAGCGACCTTACCCTGAATCTACAATAGACAGGTCATTGTCAACTATTTTTATTTTTACTTTGTCATCAATTATCTGCCTGGCATGTTTTGGCTCAAAGATTAAAACTTTTGACTTTCTTGGGTTGTTATAATTAGACAATGATCATTTTCAGTTCCAACAAAATTATTGATGTCTTCATTAACTTGTACACACGCCTTATCAGCATCTCCTGGTTTGAAAGAGAGATAACGCAGAGTTAACGATCTGCCTGGTGTAGGTAGAAAAAAGTAGTGCACCTCTGATTGAACCTTGTGGCACTCCCCACTTCAATTCTAGAAAGTCCGATTCATTTCTACTGTCACACTGATATCTTCCCCTCAGATACTTATTGAAGAGATCAACATCATCTTCAAATATTCTTATATGATGCAAAATTGACATCAATACGTCATAGTTTATACTGTCAAATGTCCTTCTAAAATCGAGAAGTATCAGGGCTGTACATGAATATTCATCTAAAGCTCTGAGAATATTATCGACTGTATGTTTATTTTATAGATTTTACTTTATATCTGTGTTTTACCAAATTCTTGAAATTATATTGTTCCTGTAGTATGAAGCAAGTGCTTTTGCACTTATTGCTATTTTTCTTCATTCACCTATTATATAGAAACATCACTCAAGAAAAATTGATGGCAAACCGCGGACACGTGTTTCTGGCTATTGGCCTCATCAGCGCGGTATAGCCAAGTCAATAGAGAAAACCGTATGGACATCTGGGAAAACTTAAAGATCCATAAATTTAACAGTCATAATTCACTTATCGAGGAACAAATACTAATCAACTCTCAGAAGTTGAGTAACTTGTGTGTATACAGGGTGTAACTGAATAAGTGTAAAACATTTAAGGAGGTGATGTCTCATCGAAAAAAAAGATAGGATTTTTCATATAAAGAAACTTCATTGCAGCATCCCTTGTTAAGATACAGCCNCCAATTTAATTGTCACTATCGCTAATAGCGACCTACTAGATAGATTAGTTTCGTATTTTCGCATTTATGACGATGTATCTCTGTAGTTGTTCGTATAATAATTTTTTGCTGCGAGCTGGTTCATTTTGGGCAAAAAACCCAAGAGACATTTTTTATTTAGAATGAAACAGGAAACAGGCTACCACCTTCACTTTTTTGAAATACCATACCCGGTTGGAGAGTCATTGACGTTAGAATTTGGGACTAGAAATTTCGTTTCGCCACCATGATTCGTTACTCCACTGAATCAGATTTTTAGAGTTTGGCAGAGCCGTACATTTACTATCTGACCTGAAAGACCACTCGCCAAACAAACTAATCGACTTCGTTAAGAAGCTGGGTTTCTTTAGTCGAGTTTGAATAGGTGTTAGCCACAATAAACCCTTGCGGGTTGCGGTGGGGGTCGGATGACCATTCACTTTGGACCTAACTTACCCCCCTCTTAACTTTCGAACGGGGTGAGAGTAAAACACAATTTTTGTGAAGAATAATCATTGTTAGTACTTTTTGGCAAAAAAGGTCATAGTGTGACTTCACTCACCGCCGAAAGGTCGCTGTCTACTTTTTTTTCAAAATACTTTTACCTTCACTTTTTTTAAATTCCATAACCGGTTGGCGAGTCATTGACGTTAGAATTTGGGACTAGAAATTTCGTTACTCCACCATGATATGTCAGATTTTTTGAAATCAATGTGCATTGGAATAAGTAATCAGTAATATATTTTGCAATAGATGACTGTTGATTTCAAGGGCATTTTATTTTAACCCCGGTATTATATCTTATAAATAAAATCATCTGAGCAAATATTCAAAATGTTCATTATCAGTAAAACAGAATATTGTCCAATTTTCGAACTCATTGCCAACATTTCGGAATGTTTCTGTGGTGATGCTATCACAAGTTTCGGTAATTATGTCTCTTAGTTCCCATATTGTCTCAAGTTGATATAGATCCAAAGAAAAAAATCGTGAGGAGTCAAATCCGGTGACGGCAATATTTATCACATCCGAACGAAATCCGTCGATAGTGTGTGGAACTTTTCTCTTCACTGGTATTATTTATCTCATAAATAAAATCATCTGAGCAAATGTTCGAAATAATCTCCTAACAATAAAACAGACTATTTTGGAACTCATTTCCAAAATTTCGGAGTGTTTCTGAGATGATGCTATCACAAGTTTCGGTAATTCTATCTCTAAGTTCCCATATTGTCTCAAGTTGATATAGATCCAAAGAAAAAAATCGAGAGGAATCAAATTCAAGGACGGCAATATTTATCATATACGAACGAAATCCGTCGATAGTTTGTTGAACTTTTCTCTTCGCTGGCTGGAGACTGATGAGCGGTTCCATGGTCTCAAAATTGCGTAGCCAGCAGCGTAACCATATATAACTTCCAAGGACAGAAAAAAGAAACAAATATGAGTGAAACACAAAATTTCAAACAATTGACACGTATATTTTCAAGTTCCCTCGTATTAGTAGGTATTACAGTCATTGGTATTGAAGACCACCTGCAAAAATAGTGGGTAATAAATATGCAAGAGGATTGTTATACTCGTAATAGCGTGATTGTTCCAGTCCTGTACTGTCCTTTTACATAAAAGGACAAGGAAATTTGTCTTATCGTGAGACTCCAACATGTCAGAAGAGGCAAATTTGAAGTTTCCTCTGAGAATTTTGACGAGTGCAGGATGTTTGAAAGAGCAAACTGTTGTAGACAAATTCAAAATATATATTTCATTTTCATTTCTTTTCATCGTTGACTTTTTGCTGATTTGGACTCTATGTTGTGAAACGAAGACCTTCGAAGATGTTGTGACTATTTCTGAAACAGCAGGTTGTTATTGGCAGGTATTTTTATTTCGTACAAATCCTCGATATTGGATCTATGAGAAATCATATTTCATGAATTTTCATTTTGTTTTTATATTTCGAAATAAGTATATCTGGAATACATCAAGTTTGAGCTTGATCAATCATTCGTTGAATACTATGAAAATATAATAATTATAGTAATAGGGTGGACTTATTACTTGACATTGTTGATTTTCTTATATTTCAGTGTTTCACGTTTTGGAAATACAAGTGATTGTATCTTCGATGCCCGCTGCGTCTAATTCTAAACAATTAATTGTCTAAATCCCCATAAAAATGTAGATGGATCAACATTATTCATATTATAGAGACGGCTCATTCGTTCTATAATTGATTACAACTCATTAATACAGTTTAGTGTCTGATTTTCAATATATAGGGTAAAAACCGCAACACGTGTTTTGCTATACAATAGCTTTTAGCTTTCTCAAGCGTACAATAGCTTTTACAAGCATTTAAAAACTATTTTTTAGCGAAACACGTGTCGCAGTTTTGTGTAAAAGCCTTTATAGTGAAAATCATACAATAAACTGTTTTAATGAGTTTCATTATGAATTTTCATCAAGTATCAGCCAGGTAGGTGGGGTCCGGATACTGTGGGAAAATTTTAACGAGGTCCAGAAAAATCAACTGATAAAATTTGAGTGCTACCTACGTAACATTTTGGTTTCAAATCAAAATCTGAATTATAAAACACAAGACCTCAAATTAATGTGAGAAATTACACCGACGGTCTTGGGCCAGTTTTTTATAGTTTGGTTCTCGAGAGGTGGGCAGCAAATTCAAAGTGTGTCTTCTAGGTGGGCGTCTTTTAGTCTCGAACGATATTTGTTTTTCAAAAAAATCATCTTTGAGAAATATGTTTCACATACGTATGTCGAGCCAAACACAGTGGCCAAATGTATTGCTTGTTTTTTGCACATTGGGATTGGGGTTTTTTGGGACATATTAGGCCCAAAAGTCTTCAGTGGATACCGTGTTATACATTTGCAAAGACACATCTTGCGAATCAATTATCTCTATTTGAAGTGATGCCTTTGACAAATTAAACAACTTAGCAGCAACATCTGTCCATTCTGTTGCTACATCAACTTCAAATGGCGATTTAAAAAACGGATAGCCAATCGTTTTCAAAAAATTTATAGAAAGAGAATTATACACTCCATTGTGTTTGATAATGATACACAGGGTGAATATGAATCTTCTTATGAATATGACAAAAAATAAACATAAACAATGACGTATAGAAATGGTTGTTCATCAAGTTAAAAATGTTGTCTTCAAGTTAGATACTGGTGCAATGAGAAATATCATCAATATAAAAACTATTCTGTCTTTGAATATAGATGAAAAAACTATAAAGAGGCTAATAAGTTATACAAATGATACTATACCTGGAGTTGGCGAATGTCGTTTACATTGTTATTATAAAAATTTTTACTGGTTACATTTTGTTATAGTAGATATAGACTCTTCTGCTATTTTAGGTTTGGATAGTTATATAAAATTGAACATTGTTAAAAAAAAGATTATATTGATTGTGGTCATGTCGTAAAAAAATACATTTTTCACGGAGTTGGTTGCCGTTAAAAACCTCTTCACATTCAACTGAAATTAAATGCCGCACCTAAAATCTACTTAACACGAAAAATTCCGTTTCCTCTTATGCCTAAGTTTAAGGGATGTTTGAAGGAAATGGAGTAGCAAGGAATAATATCTGAATCGGACTATCCCACAAAGGCTCAGAGATGGCTCTTTGAGAATTTGCCTCGATCCGGTTGAGCTTAATAAAAATATTCGCTGAGAACATTATCTTTCACCAACTTTCGAAGAAATCGGTGCTAAATTAAAAAAATGCTAAATATTTCAGTACTTTCGCTACACCTTTCAGCAGATACCACTATTTAAGATACCGTTTGGTATAAACTATGCTTTTGAGGTTTTCCAAAAAAAAATTAAAGCTTTTTCTGGCATACCGGGGTAGAGATATATGTTGATGAAATTTTGATATGGGGTTATACCAAAGAAGAGTATGATGAACGTCTGGAAAATTAATTAGGAATCGCAAAGCAAAACAATGTTAGATTCGATGAAAATGAATGTAAAGTCTGATCAACTGAAATCGTTTGTATGAGATATGATTTCAAAATCGATGCATCAGGAAAATACCTCTTCCTGAGAATAAAAGGGATCACAGCGGTTTCTGGGCATGATAACTTATGTGAGTAAATTCATCGACCATTCAACAAGCATTACTGCTCCATTGAGACAGTTGCTAAAAAAAGACACTGCCTGGTGTTGGGAATCAGTACATGATAATGCCTTCAGGCTATTGAAGAAAAAATTAACAATTCATCCCATCTTACAATTTTATGATTCGGAAAAGCCTATTACAATCTTAGCAGATTCTCCAAATCATTAACCAATACCCAATAAAAACTATTCACTGCCCAAACAGGTACAAGACCTACTTACAGGCCAGTATGGCCAGGAATCCAGACCAGAGACAATCTGTTGAGTCTTCCTATCGAGGAGAGTCGTTTTTGGCAATTTGCTACCAATATAGACGTTGCTCGATAGGAGCCAAGAGCTTCCAATGCCGCTTGACTGTCCGAGAATATTTTTATTGACTTGTGTATGAAGTTAGACTCTTTCAATCTCTCCGCACACAATTCAGTAGCGTAAATTTCCGCTTGAAATACAGTCGCATAGGTTCCTAGGCAGGTTGATATCTCTGTCCTGGGACTGCGACCCAGGACCTCCAGTCCTCTCTACTGGAGTACAGTACTTTATAAGGCACTTCGTAGTTGACAGTTGGAGGCATAAAGTCAAAGGCCATTTCCAGAATGCTGTGACTTCCAATGCACGGGCTTTCTTCTGTCGAGGGCATCAAGCAAACTATCCATCATGAACGACCACAAAAGAGGAGATAGTACCTCACCTTGAGGGTAGCCTATGGTGACCCTGAACCTAATTGTCTCGCCTTGAAGAGTCGAGTTGCAGTTCTGTTTACCAGATGGCATATATCCAGCCAGTTATGGTCGATTATATACCTTTCCTAGCCACAGATGATCCTATAGATTTAGGTAGTGCATTGTCGATTGCTCCTTCAATATCGAGAAATACAGCAACCACAATCTCCTTGTTGTCAAGGGATTGGGAAATTTTCTCTGAAAAGCTGTTTAATGCTAAATCTATCGATTTGCCGGTTTTAATGAGCATAGTGGTGGTTATTCAGTGGGATGCATTTATTATCACCCTCCTGATGTGCCCTTCCAGTATCCTCTCAAGTCCTTTCAACAGGAAGGATGTAAGCTGATTGGTCGTACCGATTTGGGGTGTGGGTCTTTCCGACCCGTTTCAGGTGTATATACTACCCTTGCTGCTAACCAACTGGGTGGTATATAGTTCCACGCCAAACTAGCTCTATACAATTTTATGAGAATAGGTATTATTATTTTCAGTCCGTTTTGAAGAAGAGCTGGAAATATACCATCCTCTCCAGGAAATTTGAGGGCTGCAACGACTTGATAGCCCATTCAACTGCCGGTGCTGTGAGAACCTTCTTGACGACCTCCCAATCGTTCTTTTTTGGGCGTTTAACGGCCTCAAAGATGGAAGATCTGTTGTTATCAAGAGTCAGATATCCAGGAAAGTGGTTTTCTATCCAAATCTCTAACGTTTCTTTACTAGAGGTCGTGAATGTTCCATCTAGTCGTTTAAGCGACCCAATTTCAGCAGTCGGCTCTCTAGAGAGAATATTGTGAATTCTTGTGCTGCGAGGTGAATCAGAGATACTCTCACAGAACTTCCTCCAAGACTCCCGTTTTGCTTTTCTAATTTCCTTGTTGTATGTCGTTAGAGTAGTTTTATAAAGCTCCCAGTTACCTGACTCTTTAGCTCGATTGAATAATCGCCAAACTTATTTTCTTTGTTTTTCCAGGCTTTTGTTCCACCAAAAAGAGTTATGGTTATCTCTTTTAATCCTCAGTGGACAGTTCTCATGATAGGATGAGATCACTGCTTCACGAGATCGCTCCGCTACTGCGGTGTACTGAAAAGAAGAATGACTATTGTTTTTCGTCATTTTTTCGCATATAAGTAACCTTAAACTCATTGTTGAAAATATTCGTTTCTTCTGAACTATATTATCCATTCTTCTGCATTTTAGTCTCCATCATTCTTTTCATAGTATCATATATTATTTTTTCAACTCACTCATCCAAATATTTTGTTCTTGTTTCTTAAATACTCTCGGCATTTGATGAGAAATATATTTTCAACAATTGTTCACCAAACATAAAACTTTTCCCGAGTATACAGTTACTTTCCAAGTTGAACGAAAGTCAGTTTTTTATTAACCTGTATAAAGTCCTCCATCATAATTTTCATATTTTTTAGATTGTGGAAGGTGGATAAAAAACTTTTTCAACATAATTGAAAAGTACCTTTTTTTTCAGGCGACGTCGAAACTTCTGGTTCTCATCATCTATAACAACGACCTGAAGAACATCCTCACCTTACGGGACCAATTCTGGGAATATGACAAATTTGGAATGGAGTTTGGTAATAAACTGAGAATGTTTCCTAAAAATGCATACAGTTTCATCAAAGTATACGTATTTTTTGTTCTGGGCGTACTTTCGATGATGATATTGAATCCCATTCTGTTTGGCATTCTTCCTACAAAAGTTTGGGTTCCCGACGGACGAGTGTGGTTTTATACGACATGTTTTATTCAAACCGAAGTTCACATTTACTGTGCTATTGCGAGTGCTTTGGGATTTGATACGTTGTTCGCACTCATCTTTATAGAGGCAACAATACAATTCAAATTGCTAAATCGAGCTTTCTCAATGATGCAAAACCACAACGACATGAGAGCGTGTGTGGATCATCACGTGTTTCTTTACGAGTAAGTAAATAGTAACAATAATAAATTTTTCAGCTCCCGGTGAGACGAATATTGTCTGAAAAGAGGAAGAAAAACGTATGAAATTTTAAGATTTCTCTCTTTGAACTCCGAATACTCTATCTTTGGTGCAATGATGCCCTCTCTATTCTCGAATCTCAAGATGAAGCCGGCCACGAAGGCAGAAATTTTGCCCGAATGAATGTAGAAAGTTGTCATTCTTGGCTTTTTGCGTCTGCTTAGGGCACATGGGCCTTGGACCCAATGATCACTTAACCCACGATGTGGGAAGCAGTCACTGATTGATCATTCTGGCTCACTCTCCCTAATATGTTGGAGGTCAGGAGCAGGGTCCGACTAGCTTACCCTACGTTAAAAATAATAACATAATAGTCATAATGATAATAATAATAATATGGCCTGGATCGATTACCGCAAGGCATTTGATACAGCATCGCATGATCTCATCTTGCATTTGCTCAGATACTTTGCGGTACACGACCATATAGTGAGATACCTTGAACAACTGATACCACCTTCAAACAAACTAATACCACTCTGGCGGAATCGCTTCACCATAACACCTGATCAAATCAGAGTCAGAACAGGTGGGTCACCTTCAGAAGGGGTGTATTTCTCTTCTGCATCTCACTATTGCCATTATCTGTTGCGCTCAGAAATACTCGAGGGTATAACTGTGGCATTCCTGGAAACCAGAGGCACAAGGTCACCCATTTGTTTTATATGGATAAACTTGTACTTTTTGCCTTTGGAGGGAATAATCTCCATCAGTCCGTGAGGGTGGTAGAAGAATACACACATGCTATAGGTATGGAATGCGGGGAGGATGTGCAACTCGTAGATGGAGGCATCCTACACCATCTGGATGTTAGAGAGACGTATACTTACCTCGGCGTGGAGCAACGCCACACACAAGAGATAACAGGAGGAGCTGAATCAACTCGACGTAAAGACTCAAAAAATGATGCGTCTCCTTAGGAGTTTGCATTCCAAATCATCCTTCCCACGGGTGTACTTCCCCCAACAACAGGGAGGCCGTGGAGTTTTCAGTTTGGAGTATATACATGACAAAATTGTAATGTATGGAGCCTGTAGATTTGTCAGAAGTTCAGATCCCCTTCTCTGCATGGTCCGCAACCATGAGAGAGCAAGAATTGGAGCTTTCCTCTTTAGCGCAGCTGCCCGAGCAGCTTATAAACTCGGTTTAGTTTTCGACTCTGAACGAGGTGATAACAACTCTGTCAACGAGTTGGAACCCGTTCAGAAAAAGGCTCCGAGGAATAATCAATCCGTTGTGGGCAACGAGAAGTGTCGAATTTATTGGAACTATTCGTTCTTCGCCCTCAGGCTCATACAAGCTAATAAGCCTGATGTAGTCCTTCTCGAACACCAGAGTAACACGATGTTTGTCGTGGAGTTTTCAGCTCCTAGCGAGACGAGTATCGTCCAAAAAGAGGAGGAAAAACTCTATCCAGACCACTCTGTCGAGATGGTTGTTCTGATTATTGGTGTTTTTGGCGGAATGATGCCCTCTCTACTCTTAAATCTGAAAAGCATACCGGCTTGCCGCATTAAGGCAGAAATCTTAGACAAACAGATGCAGAAGGTTGCGCTTGCTCAGGTCACATAATTTTTGATCCACTGATCACTCACCCCACGGTCACGGAAGCTTGAGTTGAAAAAAATAATAAAATATAATAATAATATACGCATGCTATCGGTATTGAATTCAAGATAGACAAATGTGCAACGGTCCATCTCATTGGGCCGTTCCAATCTCACTCGTTTGGAAACGTTTCTTTTATAGTTTCATGTAATAGTATAGTATTTGGTATTTTTTCGATATTTTAAAAAAATCAAACTCACTTTCACGCCACTTCCTTCATCATAACCACAAACTTGAAAGTTATTCAGTAATAGTTACTTTTCTCAAACACCAAGCTGAAAATAATCTTCATGGATCAAAATAAAATTGAAATAAAGTACGCTGTCTGTTCAAGAAGTTAGGTGAGCTATAATTTTTCTCAAAAAATATCTATTTATTCCTCACTTTCTATTTTGTTCCCTTCGAAGTAACGCCTCTCAGTTATAAACACTTGTGCCAACGTTTTTTTCCAGTTTTCGAAGCAGTTCTGATATGCACAAGAAAATGTCGCAGGGGGCCAAATCTGGTGAATCCGGTGGCCAGAAAACAAGCAATGACGAGTGGGCAGGTGCATTATCGTGATGCAAAAGAGGTGAATTGTTTTTTCGCAATATCGGACGTTTTCTTCGTATTGCTTCCCGCAAGCGGTGCATTACATCAAGATGATACTCCTTATTGACTTTATAACTATGTGGCAAGAATTCTTGATGCACTACGTCACGTCAATCGAAGAAAACAGTGAGCAAAACCTTTGACATCTTTGTTGAATTTGGCGTGCTTTTTTGGTCTTGGCACCCATGGGCTCTTCCATTGGGACTATTGGACTATGGTTTCGATGTCATAACCATGTATCCATTATTCGTCACCAATTACGACCCTCTTCAGCAAATTTGAGTCGCCGTTGACGTCACTCAACAATTCTTTAGCGATGCCCAGACGACGGATTTTCTGTTCAAAATTCTGCAATTATCATATGTATTTTCACACTAGTTAATATTGTTCAATTAACATTATTGAACATTCTAATCTTAGGATAAGAACATTCATATGAATCCAGGAACGTATCAATATTCCAGTAAAAAATAGTACCTCGATAAGACAAATTCAGCTTAAGTCAATAATGTAATTGAAATGCCTTACCTTATGAAATATCCTGTATTTTCTGTATTTTCTTTTCTACAGAATGAAAAGTACTTGGCTTTAATAATATCTTATTTCAGGTTCATTGAAAAGTTAAAGAATATTTTTTCAGTATTCCTATTGGCACAGTGCTTCGACTGTATGGTTATAGTTAGTATAAAAATGCTCGTTGCTGTAGATCCGTGAGTGACCTTTATGTTTATGAAAAAATATTGTTTTACTAACCACTGTAATTTTTCTAGAAACCAAAATGTGATTCTCAGAACGAAAGCAATAATGTACGTAATTGGTATCAATGTGCAGCTGTCTTTATTTTGTTTTCCGGTTGGTTTCTTAAAAGATGAGGTGAGAACTGAGGGTTGGGGATTGCACACCTCTGCAACTACTTCAAAATTGTGAAACGTAGACATTTATATATTCTTTATAAAATACACGGTGGCCCATTGAAAAGAGACCTGCAAGTTTGACAGTTTTCTTACTTGAGATAAAAATTCTAATCCGAATAGGGGTACGTACGTCGGCCCAGTGGCGGAAAGCTCCAATTTATTAGCTCCAATTTATCATTTGGAAAAATGTAAAAAAAATACTTAAATATTCTAAATCGCGCGCACAATAGTACGAAGGTATTACTGACATGATAGTAAGTTAATTTAAAACTGACAGGCTCGATACTATGGATTATAGAGGGCAAGCTTACGATAATGCTGACACGATGACTAGATGCCACACAGGTGTACAACAGCGGATAGAAAATATCAACTCCTGTGCCGAGTTCATTCCCTGCTCTAATCATTCCTCAAACCTAGTTAGCCTACATGTAGCTGTAGTTGAAGTAAATTCCGTCACTTTCTTTGTCACGCTAGAACGCTTCTTGTCTACGTCACCGCACCGGTGAGAGGTTCTCCTTGTAGCCACTGGAAAGAGTTTGACACACAGGACACACGTAAGAATTACAAAAAAACATTGACCGTTTTGGTGAGACTATTTTAACAAAATGAAACTTTGAACACACGTACGGGTGCAGGAAGTTCATCAGTTGCTATGTAGTCATTTTTATTTTTAATTTACTTGGGTTTCTAGTATCCGATACTGCGTGAGGTTAATGATACTCATAGTATTTACAAACCGAGAGACTCAATATAGATACATCAGTGTGCACAAGAAAATCGAGAGAAACTTGTAAACGGAGCTGTCCAATAATCTGAAAGTTTATGCGAACAACTTGGATCTACTTGGAATTCCTTCCGAACCCCCAAGACGAATCAGGAGGAAGCAAATTTTTGGCGAACGATGTTTACTTCAGTAGACAAAGTGATGACAAAGTGATATTCCTTAATAATTCCAGTAGTAATGCTGGGCTTGGAAAAACTTAACCTAAATCAAACTCTTCAGGGCATAAATACAGAAGAGTTTCGACTTTAACGCGCACGTCTACGAGCCTTTTAGGAACAGACCCAGATTGAAAATAGTAACTCATTGAGTCTGGCTCCCTGTGCTTATAAAAATATATCTGATTTCTCACCAAATGATTTGAAATCCACTAGATACTCGTTAGGTCAACAAGAGGATTGCTCTGAATTCTTGGGGTTCTTGTCAAATACCCTTCGTGAGCCAAAAAAAAACAACAGAATCAATACTCCTGACTGCTCTGGATTGAATAATTCCGTACAGTCTATCTCGTCTTGTGTTTGTAGACCTTTTGTTGGAAAAATCACCGCTTGTTTACTTTGTAGTAAATGTTTAAGAGGTAGCAAAAACGTGTGTGAATATGTGGAACTTCAACTAGCGTTTCCTAATATGACATAACCAGTCCGTGCAAAGCTTGTTGTTAAATCATCTCAAAATGAAACTTTCAACGGGTGATGATCAACTGTTTTGCTAAACATGCGCCAAACTAACTGACTATTATAAGAAAACAAGTATAGCTGAGCCATCAGTCAATCTAATAATAACACTGATGATCTTCAAATATGACTCAACCTCTGACACGAGCACCAAACTCTTACGAAGGTTCGAAATAGATGAACACTTTAATCTAGCAGACCACTATTATAATCTCCATGCAGTCATTCTTCACTGTGGCTCTGGCGTTGAATCTGGTCATTATTACACATTGGTCAAAGACGAAACGAACTGATTTAAGTTTGACGATAGTCGTGTCACTAAGATTTCTGGCGATGTCTTGAATTTATTGAAGCCTCTGAAGGCACCCTACATTTTGTTTTATGAAAGAGAGGACATTGGCATATCAAGGTCTTTAGATAATGTGGTACTGCAGGTTTTTTCAGATTTTCCAGTCACTAAAAAAGCAAATGCGCCACTGGAATTAATTAAGTCGCCCCGGAGCGCCAATTAATTTTTGTTGTTTCCTAATTTCATGATTTCTTCTTTAATATATTATAGTTTTCAAAATATATTATATTGATTTAGTTGAGGACTTTTCTTAATGAAAGCACGTAAAGTACATTTTTGATCAACTTTTTGTTCAAATAAATACAGTAGCTCAAGGACTAGTAGAGCTTTCATGAAAATATGTTGACGGATTTACCTACTGATCTTTTTGATGTCGATGTTGACTCTACCGTACAGGCTACAGTGGGTCCATTGCTGAAGGTGAGGCCCTTACATGGCAGTAATCAACGATTCTCCTAATTCAAAATGCAAATTTAATTTAGTAGTAAAGTTTTTTCGTTTCCTGCGTTAGGAGATTCTACGTAGTTGACTCTTATCTGTCACTCAAACATGCAATACCTTTCTGTGAAAGGTATTGCACTATCACCTAAGAAGAATATCAAAAAAAAGAAGACAAAACAACAATCAAAAGTAGTCATCCAACCATCAATGGAACCTGTGTTCTAAGAAATTTAAGAAACACGAGCTGCCAAAAAATTAAACTAAGAAAACAGACAAAGACTATTACAAAATACATTAAAAACATCATCTTCTTGTAAGTCTGAGGGAAGACAAAATATTTTATACGGTGATAAAGAAGAGTTAAGTGATGATTTTGTTAAAGAAAGGGGAAGTAAAACAGGTGTTAAGTACCTCTGCGTCATTTCTGGTTATTTTGGTAAAGACAAAGAAGAGTAGTTCAGGTGTGTGAGCTGTGGAAGCTGGTATTCGACTTGAGATGATAGTAATACTACCTGGTTAAAGTATATATACACTATAATATATGTACGAAATTAGGCGATTATTACCTGAATGATTCGGTAATTACCATACAAATGAAAAGTTTATTCAAAGTGTCATATTCTTCTAAATTTGTTTTCTTTTTCATTTTTTATGTTAACGATTTATAAGATAGACCTTTTAAGGAGTGAATTTGAAAATAGAGCGAAATTGAAATGAACCTATTTGAAGTAAGTTTTAATTTTATTTTTTCTCTTTCGATCACTACCTAACAGAGGAAGCAATAATTTTTTTTCATTCAGGAAGGATACGTTAATAGATGAACAGACATTGAATTTTATCTGGAATGACGCTTCGTCTCTGAAATTTAGGCTATTCGTCGCCAAACTGAAATTTCAAAAATTTTGCTGGATGGATTCACAAATGGGTTTTTGAACAAATGAATGAGCAAACAAGGGATAATTTCATTGTGGAAATGATGAAAACTATTGAATTTCATTTTCTGAACCATCTAAATACAAGAGTAAAGGCAACTTTATTCAATGAGAGCCATGGTTATAGACACGTACATCTTGGTTACATCCTGTAATTATCAGTAGAATGGGAAACTGATTCTTTGGCCAATACAAAATGAAATATTGAAAATCCTGTCAGAAATAAGGTAGTAGAAGTAGTTGTTTTGGATCGAATTGCTATGAACCGTACATCAATTACTTTGTGATGCAACGTGATCCACTGTGAAGGGGATTCTGAAACACAATAAATGGCAGAACTTTGAAGAAGTTGAATTTCTTAGAAAATTGAATGAAGTTGACAATGGCCGCCTTTCACCATTTTATGAATAATATTTAAAATAATTATAAATAATCCCAACTATTCAATATTCGCTTCACAGAATAATGTTCTTTTTTATGAATTTCGCTGTAAAACGAGGCTTTCTCTCATTATGCATCAAGTGTTTGATAGTTTCTGGATGGAACGTTTCTGATAGACGGATTGGAAAGAAGGTTGCTATCGAATCGTCCGCGAATTCACCTGAATTGTCTCTATTTGATTTTTTGGAGACATTTGAAATCGGCAATTGTAGCAACAAATAGCATTCAATATGCTGCACAATGTCTGGCAACACAATTATCGCATATTTTCAAAAAAATGAGATAATTCTTAGGTACTAATCAATGAAATTAAATTGAACTTCTCGAGAACAACTAGTTTGAAATAAAAAAGTAAAGTGGCTTTTTGAGTAAATTCATCCCTTTCCGAAAGATTTATCACAACATGCCCCTTTCCAATGGGAAAAATAAGAGTAAATGCCGGCCCCGCCATAACATCTTGGCGGAGGAATGGAAATAATATGTACATATGATCTCGGCGAAACAAAAGTATTCGGGTTAGAGTTTTTTTTTTCATTTCCACATACTGCAAACTTGTATCCGATGGGCCATCCTGTATATGGTTTCAGCTAGACAGATCACCTGAGGCCATCAGTAGTTGCCCATGGCTCTTGAATAATAAAACTTTTAGAAATGATATAATCTTCATCATGATGCGCTGTCAAAGAATGATTTCGTTTAGAGCTGGAGGACTATTTGAAATAGATCGTCAAGCATTTACCGGGGTAAGTTAATTTTAGATATGTAATCTGATTTCATAATTTGGTCAGTTGACATGCAAACTCAACAACAGAAACCAACAAAAAGACTACAACAGTAAAATCGGGTAATCTTCATTTCGATTTTGATTTTCATGCTTTATCTGTCAAGAACAACCCTAGGTAAATCTTACAGAACATAGTAAATTGAAAAAAAATAGAACAAAGATATGTTCGAAGTCACCTTGTACCTGAAGAATTCAATTCCTTATTCAAATAAATTCGCATTGGCGTACCCGCACTTTCATTCAAACTCCGCTTGAGATTATATTTGTTTGAATAATGTTTTATCACGTAGTTTTGTATCAATCTAAGGTATTTTATTTCAGTACTTCCACTTCATTTTCAATATGCATGTATTTTCGTGTTTTGTTTTGCGCTCTAGATTCATTTCGATAATGTTATATCAATTTTTGAATTGTTGACATACTCTCGCCTCAATCTTTCAATGTTTTTGCTATCTTCCTACTTCTTCTTACCTAATTTTAATGAAGAATATTATTTTATATTACGGTAACTTCATTTTTTGGTTCGTCAAAGGCAATTCCTCACACATATTTTTCCATTTCTCCAGTATCTTCAATACTGCTGTTAATGTGGTCTCATTATTTTCATTATTCACGAACTGATAAGACTTTGTTTAGTTCATCACTAACGATAGCTAATTCAAGGGTACATATGTATCCATTCGTCTTTTTTTATCATTTCCAGAGGTGAGTTCAATATCAGTCAGGGATCCAGTATCTCTTCCAGGTATTCAACTTTCCCCGATTCTCATCTCTAAGGCCCGGTTGTAGATGCATAGTTCATCTGTGGTTCTCTGTTGAACTGGGTTCAATTGAAAATTATTGTTGTAAATACGTCAGTCAACCTTGATCTGTAGTTCAAGGTTATGTTCATTTGAACGGGGTTTGAAGAGCGTTTAAAGATGGAGAGACATATTCATATCATGTTCCTCTTTCAAGAATTTCATTTTCATCGCTGACTCAGTTTCTTGTAACAGCATCCATTTATCGTGTTTCTCTCGCATGTGCTTTAGTTTCAGCCGATGTTCTTCATAAAAAGCGGTCTTCTGAATTTCAGCAAGTTCTATTTTTGTAGAACTCCATTCAACCAACCAACTGTTCAGAGGGTTTCGGTTCTTCTTCAAACAATTATTTCCTAAAACAAAAGAAACAAGACCGTCGATTGAACATGTGTGCACCTTCTCTATTTTCATGTTTAAAGGTGGTGTGAAAATTCAGAAGATTTTTAATTACTGTGTAATAATAATAATAACGTATTACCAATAAGAAAAGATATTACCAATAATTTGCAAAAGAATAGAAATAATCACCTTTATTAGTGGAGGACAGATTTCTGTCCCTAATTATAAGTGGTGANCGTCTACAACCGGGCCTAAGTTTGAGAGATCACATTCTAGCTGGTTTGGTTCAAATGGTGAATATAACTGTGACAGATTTGGATCGCAGGGCCTTCTGCTAAACGTCCCCTCACTATATTATTTTATTTAACCTGAACTGAGTCTAACAAATCATTCCACGGCCAGTACTCCATATCCATTTCGATCCAGAAGATGTATACCAATTTTACTAAGGGCATGCAGTCATCCTCATCTTGCCAAGAAAGCAACTGAGAAAACTTCCTTGCTTCCTTGCATATTCTGCTTTTTTCCGTAAGACGATCTAATGCCGTTAACATATCTACACTTTTCGTACTAAAATCTTGATGCAGTGGTCTGTTAGCCAGTGAAGCATCCAGTAGTGTCACCAGTATTTCCAAAGCAAATTACGTAAGACCCAAGGCATTTACCAAACCCAATCTTGTTTTCACAGGTTATTCCAATGATTACAAGCAGTATTTGAAGTAGAAGTCCAAGCTTTCCATTGTGTAGTAATCAGATTCCGTACACCAAAACCTAACAGTTTTGTTTGAGTAGTGTGCCCCCACCCAAAAACAACCAGACTAATCTATCGGCCGATAAAAAGTATCATATTCGATCTCTAAAGCCATCATCCCCTTCTCAACAACATGATTGAAAATCAGAGTTTCACTTTCATGTTTTCAACGCATGAAGAATAAATAACTGCAACTAACATAAAAAGTGAGAATTAAATTTGTACGTAGCCTTACAGGGCACAAACAAATGACATGAAATTTTCTAAAATGTCTTCACTAATGTTTCGTTCGTTCGTAAAAATGGTGGTTCTTTTATCTAATTCAATTATCAACTCAGAGGTTCTCTTTCAGGTATTTATGCAAGATCCTCACTTAAACAGGGACCATTTCTGTTCGATCTCTGGTTGGTATACTTTATTATACGTAGATATAATGTAAATGATCTGTTGGAGTGTTTCTTGTCCTTGATCATGCTCAAGCTTGACTTCTTTAAACATTTTTCTTCTTCTCCTGAGCCATTATGTTGTTTCTTCATTCACGTAGGTCATCACTTCGACCATTGACTTTCTAAAGGAGTCTTTTCTACTATAGTGGACTTGTGTAATTATTTGGATGGTTCATAGTGAATAGTGCAAGAACACAAAAACAATTCTTCATTTGGCAATCGAAGTCGAACTTTTTCGTTGGAACTGATTGGAGACCTCCGTTCATATTTGTCGAACGAGGGAATCCTCAGGCTTACTCCTTACTCAAAATCATTGACCTCAAAAGTCGTAACCATGATTCACCCGAGTTCAACTGATCATATCTGAGACAAATGAAAGTAGCACTGTTTAGTATTGGAATATAAATGCAACGTGGTTTGAGGTTTATGTCAAATGCATAGAAGGCATTTTTGTAGGGGCAATCATCGTTTTTATTTTAACTCATAGGCTATGCTTATAAAAATGTTTCCTATTCAAAATAATGAAGATATTTGTTTGTAGTTTCTCATAATCAATGACTGTTTTTTTTTTAGGTTTTCAAGTTTACATTTTCGGTCTACACTTTGTTGGGTGCAGTTCAATAAACATCAGTTTCAATTCAGTCAACAAGTAATTTCTTGCAAAACACATTGCTTCTAGTCTTTCACTATTATAACATTATAAGTAATATACACTATTAGAATCACGCAATATAGATGTTTTGCCTCAAAATACCTTCTTCTCAGAGAACTCTGAGAAGGATATGAAGGTATGACAATAATAAAAATGATAATGATAATAATAATTAAGACGTTACTTTCAGATATGGCCCATAGCATAGCCGATCGATATGAAAATAAGATAGTGAAATGTGAGTGTTTTTTATATGTTTATCACTTGTGCACTTAGATAAAACCAAAATACATTACCGTCACACATCTTAGATGATTGTTTTTTTTTCTGAAACCTGCATGTGTCGGACCTGCATGTGTCAGACCCCAACCGAAAATAGTGAAGAAAAGAGAATTGAAACTTTCTATATTATTTATCACTTTTATTTTCAATTAACGTTACTACAGTTTCGTCCTATAAGGACATTTTCTTGCACTGGCAATGTTTATGTATATGAATTTCCAAGGATTCCAAATAATTGAGTTTGCGACTCTTTCTTGTATAGTGCTAATTTTCCGTATATTTTAGATTCGGGAACTTGTGGTTGCATGCCAAGGAATGGTTTGAAAACGTCGAATCATTTTTTTCCCAGTCTGAAGAACCTTTCATGTTCAGCATACCGTTTTTGGAAATTTCGGCCACATTGTCCCACATTAACACTATTACACTCCGGACACTTAAGCTTATAAACTCCAGATTTCTCCAACTTGTCCGCTTTATCTTTGGTATTGAAAAGGAAATCAGATAACCTGGCATGTGGTCTGAATGCCACTTCCACATTGTTTTTTCTGAAGAAACCCGCAATTATCATCTCTGTTCTTTTACCAAAATATGTTAGAGTTACCCATTTCTTGATTTCTGATTTTTTGATCTGGGGGTAGTATATTAATCTGTTAGTGAATTTCCGGCTTTGTTTTCTAACTTCTGGATTGTATCTGCGTTGAAACCATTATTATGGCCTAACTAGATTATTAGTAGACAAAGGCAGTGAGAATGATCTGTGCAACATTGAATGACAGGCTGCTTATTTATGACTGTCTGAATGGAAAGAATCACTTGAGATGGTAATGTCTGTATAGCTAGATTTTCTAAATACTTTGAACTCAAATTTATTCTGATTGTGTGTAATGTTAGTTACAAATGAAAGTGGTAGAAAACATAGAAAGTTTCAATTCTCTTTTCTACATAATGATTTCTTACCACGTAGTAACGGCTACATCCATCAATTTATCGAAAAATAATGCTTTACAATAACGAATTTCTTCAACAAAAACCACGTTGATGAAATATCAAAGTATTATTTTTTAGTCACGCATTCACTATAAGTGGTACTATATTCGCTCATCATGGTGAAGGAAAACATGATTATATTTGAAATTTCAATAATAATTTGTTCGAAGTCATCTTAATTGAAGCTCTTCAAAGAATGAGAGTTCGTTACCTTCGACGGGAGACAAAACAACATTTCGAAAGGGATTACTTGTACATTTACCAATGGAAAAATGAAACGGAAACCTTCTGAACGGTTGGCAAAAATACTACTGAAAATCAGGCAAAATGACGCAACCCGCAGCACCAACGAACGCTTTGAAGATCACTTTTTTTCCTTTCAGAACAAATAGATGCAGCAAATCAGCGAGTATTTCCACATATGAAAATAGATCAAGTAATTTACATATTCAATGTGTTATTTGTTAACATAATAGTTTTGAGCATCATTTCACGGAAGCATCGTTGAACAAATTTGAATTACACTTCATTAAACTCAATATTATTTTTTGTGAATGTCGAGGTGAATATCTGTAATAAAATAATAAATTACCTACCTCATTCAGTTTCGTATATCAATCTTATGTTAAAAAAAATTCAACACCGAAGAGGAGTCGATGAAACGATGATTAGTATGCAGTGCTTTCAAAGGAGAAACAGAGACTATCCTCAGGAGCTGTCCTTTTACCATACTACATAAAGAACTAGGATATGCAGAAGACTCAGTCACCTTGAAATAATGAGTGATTTTTTTGCTGGTATCTTTTTGGCAACACTATTTTTGACAGATCACGCGTGAATCGTGTCTTGTGTCATTGTCAAACTTGTTCAGTTTGGTCTATAATTCAACCATGAATCGACTTACAAATGAACAACTCTTGCAAATTCTTGAATTTTATTATTAAAATTCATGCTCGGTGAAGAAAGTGCGTCGTGCACTTCTTCCAATTTATGGGCAGTTTCGTTCACATTATTGGACATTTTAAACCACCAACACGCATACGTAGAGTGAGGACTGAAGAAAATATTGCAGCTGTATCCGCCAGTGTTCGTGATGAACGTGAAATGTCGATACGCCGCCGTTCGCAGCAATTGAGCCTCTCTTACTCCACTACGTGGAAAATTTTACGGAAGGAATTGGGTGTAAAACCTTATAAGATACAGCTGATGCAAGAATTGAAGCCACACGACCCCCCGCAAAGTCTAACATTTGGTGAATGGGCGCTGGCAAAGTTGGAGGAAGATCCACATTTTTATCGAAAAATTGTGTTCAGCGACGAGGCTCATTTCTGGTTGAATGGATATGTTAACAAGCAAAATTGCCGCATCTGGAGTGAAGACCAGCCACAAGCATTGCAAGAGCTACCGATGCATCCAGAAAAAGTCACTTTTAGGTGTGGATTATGGGTCGGTGGCATCATCGGGCCGTACTTCTTCAAAGACGACAATGGCCGGAACGTTACTGTGAATGGCGAGCGCTACCGTGTGATGATTGACGACTTTTTGTTGTCCAAAATTCAAGAATTGGACATGCCTGACATGTGGTTTCAACAAGACGGTGCCATATGCCACACGGCACGCGAAACAATGGCCCAAATTAAGAGCCCCATTCGGTGAACAGTTTATCTCACGTTTGGGGCCCGTCAATTGGCCGCCTAGATCGTGTGATTTAACGCCTTTGGATTATTTTCTGTGAGGACATGTTAAGGCTCATGTCTACAGGGATAAACCAGCAACGACTGATACTCTGGAAGCCAATATTGAAGCATTTATACGTGAAATACCGGTCGATATGTTAGAGAAAGTGTGCCAAAATTGAACCTTGCGCATGGGCCATCTAAAACGGAGCCGCGGACAATATTTGCATGAAATCATCTTCAAACAATAAATTATATTGATCGTTTCATCGATTCCAATAAAGACTTCATCAATTCTCAAATTTTTTGTGTTGTTTTGAAAATCAAGTTCTATACCTCCTAAAAAATCACCCATTAGCTTGAAATAAATTACCAATATCGTGAGGATATGCGTGCAGCGAGCTCTGAACGTTATATCAATAAGATCCCAGGAAGAAGTGGTGAACGGAAGCCCATACAAATCGTTTATAGTAGGCTATTTCCAAGTTTTTGTCTGATGGCCAAATATAAAACATGTTTGCCATTTCAGAACTAGACAGGTGGGAGAACCACACCAATACTATATTGAATCTACTTGTTTTACATTCCGTAGTAATGAGGGAGACAAGAATAGTAGAATTCAGACAATAAACTTCAACGAGCTTCAAGGGATCAGCTGCTCAGCAAGATGCAGAAAGTGTATGCAACCTGAAGTGTGCAAGAAACATAAATCTGAGGATTATTTAATTTAGTGATCCAATAATTTTTCTGAAGAAAGGTTCTTCAGATAAATCTGAAGCCTCAAAAGCTCAAGTATACGGGCCGAGTTCACAAGCGACAAGCAGGCTTTTTCACAAGCAGCTCGTAGACTAGTCCAGTGTACACGATGCACTCGCTCCGTTAGCTGCTTGTAAAAACGCCCTGGAAAAAGTCGGAACTATTGGCGACTTTACACATCACTCGTCGTCTTTTGAGCGGGCTAGCTTGTGAAATAGCCACGTGTACTCACAGTAGCTTGTGCAGAAGTTGCTAGTAGCATGGGTCTTGAAGATGTCGGAGGAGTGTGTTCTGGTGAGTATTGCAGTTGTAGCTGAAGTGATAGTTAATTAGACGACAAAATGCAAAACGGGGTGAAGCCGTGGATAGGAAGACGTACTACTTATGGTTCATCAAATAGTCTACAGAAAGAGCTGAAGAACGAATATCCTACGGATTATAGTAATATTTTGAGAACTAGAGGTTAACAGTTTGATGAGCTACTGGGAATGGTAGACGAAAGTTTGTCAAAACAGGACACGACCATGAGAATGGCAATCCCAGTACCTACAAAATTAAAATCAACATTACGCTATTCAGCGACTGGTGATTCATTTAGGTCATTGAAGTACCTATTTCGAGTTCCAGAAACAACAATATCGAGGTTCTTTCGCCTTTATCAAGGTAAGTGTAAATAATTTATTGTAGTTTATTCCAAAGAATTCATTCCATGGAATTTTTTGACATAATTTTGAAAACGTATTATTCATCACTGTTTGTAAGATACTCTCTTCGTCGTTTGAAGAACCAGTTGAGGAAGCCATTGATTAAGGGGACGCGAGTGGAAGAAAGTTATCAAGTTCTTGTTGGACAATTTTGAATATCCTGTTGCAGCGTGATAGCTTCTCGCTTTGCTATGTGATGGAATTCACTTGCTAGACACTCAACAAAAAAATCATATGGCTTATCCACTGCAGTTTTGTATGCAATATCGTCTAACTTCTTACTTGCTTGAGAAGTCTCCCCGTTGTCGAATTTACTAGCTTCTTAATTGTTTCTAAACATTTTCTTTGGCGGCTCAGATGGCTTGAGAAATCCAAGACCCGATCTTATGAAGCATTTCAGTAAGCATGGACTAAGTGATTAGAAAAAACATTCAATTATTGTGTTTTCCTTGCCAGACGAGTGTCAGACAATGCTTTTGGCATTCTTGCCTGGCGATTTAGAGATCAATGGAGTTGAAACCCGATACTATCGATTGAGTTGTTTGGGCTACTTGCAGTTTGCATAACTGGTTGCGAAAGACTGCCCCAAGCCACTATGTGTCACAACAAACAGATGTTAGACAAAAGGGAGTTAGACATAACGTACTTCACGAAAAAAATATCCTACCCAACCGTGGCAATGGGAGAAACTTGGACTTAAAAATGCATAATGTTCTAAAAACAAAATATGCATTTGTGATGTATTGAAATAACAATTCAATGAATCCACAAGACCAAATTTGATGTACTGCTTCTTGTTGTCAAAAATTCACTCAAATAAGTAGCATGCTTGAACCAGGATAACTTTGGTACATAAACTTCATTAATTCCACAGCCTCTATTTTTCTTTTT